AGCAACGAAAGCGAACAGAGGGTGAGCTCGTTCTTGGCCTACAACACGACCCCATGGCTAGGAAACATAATACGCTGTAAAACCACAGAAGCATTGGGAAATGCAGTGCCTTGACAGGTGGCGGAATGAAACGAGGTACTGTGTAGCGATGGTAACACTTAGCAAATATGGTGACAGAAGCATATCGCTTCAAACTGAACCGCAAAGAATTCAAATGCTTAGAGGCAGGCACGAGACTGGGCAGAGAAAACTGGAACCGAAGAACTGAGTCAGTGTGAGTGAGCAAGGCTGGGAAAGCAGCCACAACCGTAAGAGCGTCATTTTCAGCACGATCCCCACTGAAGCTGAACCGCTGCTTCACACCAAGTTCTGCCCCACATACTCAGCGTAAGTTTGCCTTTTATCTCTTCGTGGTAGAAATCTCACAGTAAAGTCTTAAAATGTGTAAATATTTGGACTGGATTCCAATTGTGTCTCTGTGTGTATACATTTTGTTTGTTTTACCAAGGCAAGAAATAAACAAAATTCTACTGGTGGAGCTGTACGGGGAGAAGAGCCGGAGTTCAAGCACTTTTTTTTAATGCCATTTGATGTTTCTAAATGTGTAACTGTTTTGCTTAATGTCCACAATAATAATCCAAGTAATGGCTGAGACAGGAGTGAGACATCTTTAAATGTCTGCATTCAAAGTCACTCTGGCGGGCAGGTGCTGGGCACAACCTGCACGCCCTGTGGGAGTGCCTGGGTTGAGTCCAGCTCTACTCCAACGCCACCTTCCTGCTAATGCAAGCCCTGGGAAGCAGCAGGGGAAGGCTCAACGATTTGGGTTCCTGCCTTGCATGTGGGAAACCTGCATTGAGTTCCAATCTCTTGGCAGTAGCCTGGCCCAGCCCAGCTGCTGTGGGTATTTGTGGAGTGAATCAGTTGAAGGAAGGTGTCCGTTCCTCTGTATTCCAAATGGAAAGAAAACAGTTCTGCCCAGCACGGGGACAGCCATGTGTCTTCCCTGCGGCCCGGGATTTGCAGGCCTGCCAGGGCAGGGGAACATATAGGGCATAACAGCAAGCTGGCAGACCAGAGCTCTGCTCCACCCCGTTGCCCCCACCCACCCTTCTCTTTCTAGGAGCTTCTTGGGCACCTGCTTCCTCATGGGGGCAGATGAAGGGTTTGGATTAGTTCTGCAGGGCTTGCCAAGCTCCATGTGACCCAGGACTCTTTTATTCATTCATTCATTCAGGCAAGTGGATAGGCCAGCTGTCATCAAGTCCCTGTGTTGTAACAGGTGCTGGGGCTCTGACTGAAGGTAGTCAATGGGCCCTGCAGAGCTTCCTGCCCAGCAGGGAAGACAAACATTGCCCAAACTACCACTGGGAAGGTTCCAGCCCGCTATAGGCAGGGGAGGCTGGGGGATACCTGAGGCTTCTGGGGGACAAAGAGAGTGCAAGGACTGGAAAAGGCCTGAGTCCCTGACAGAGAGCAGAGGCAGCTCACACGCTCTGACGCAGCATTGTCAGGAAGCTGGAAGCAACCCAGCAAGCACGCGGCACAAGCCGGCACTGCAGTGCCCGGCAGCACAACCTGGGTCCAACGAGCTAGCCTGAGCCAAGGATGGAGGCCTGTGACCCTGGAGAACAACCCTGCAAAGAACCCACTTGCTGGCATCACTCAGCAGACAGCCACACTGCCAATTCTCCATCAGCCAATCCTCAGCCGACCTCAGGGGGCCGTTGGGTAAAAGAAAAGCCAGCGGCTGCTGCTCCGTAAAGCTGGGCCAACTGACAGTCAGCATGCATGTGCCACGAGGAGCAGCCCTGGCGCTGAGAAAACGGAGAATGCAGCCGGTGCTGCATACAGACTTGCAGACTGTGCTGAATGTCAGCAGTGGTGGACTTCTGGGCAGGTGGAATCCCGGGGCTCATAAGTGCTCATGTCAACATGCAGGAAATTAGCCGAGGCAGCAGACAGGGGATAAATCAAGAGAGAATAGGGAAGCTTTCATAAGCAGAAGCTGCCTTCCAGCTACATGGAAAAACACTCTAGTGCCCGAGTAAATAAATAATAAAAGGATACGGAAACAATACACCTTGAACACTCCCATCCGTCCCTTCTCTCCTGGGCAGAAGTGGTGCCGACAGGTTGAGGCAGCCTGGGTCATGGAACCAGCTCTTCTTTATTGATCTAATAATACTGGAGCAGATTTCAAAGAATTGGGGAGGACATTTTCAAGAACAGAAGCTGGTCTCAACTGATTCGTCTGCCCCATGGTTTTGTCCCCAAGCTCTGCTATTAACTCTGGGGACACTCTTCTGACCCTGGACTGCACACAAGCTTGAAGGCAGAATTTGGGGGATTCTTTCATAGCCCGAATTTATCATTCTCCCCAGCTAGGAAAGCCCCGAGAATATCTTCCCACAAGGAAAACTAAACAATGTCGGGTGAATTTCATGCTTCCCACACGTAGTCCCTATTTTTGAAAACAATTTAATTCACACAGGCTCAACAGCATATTTCACAATGGCAGCTGTGACCTGGCTTGTGCAAGCACTGGTGTGTTTTTCTTCAACATATGCTACACCTCCATCACAAGCACCTGCTGCAACAAACAGGTGCCAACAAACAGGAACGTGTGAGAGCGGAAAAGAAAACTCAGCAACAAACTACGGTGGAGACAAGAGTCATCTCAGAACACAGGCTCTCAGAGCAAGTGACAAGGAGGTGGGAAGACGGCCTGAGCAGAGACGACCGCAGACCCACTGATTAGACACAAAATGTTCAAGTACTGTCATTCTCAGCTGGCAAGGCAAGGGAGAGCTCACACTTCTGAAAGCTGAGCGGCCCCTCTGCACTGTCACTGTGTGCCAGGGCTGTCCAGGAGAAATGAAACAGTCACCTGTGTTGGCACACTGGCCATAGTAACACCCGTCAGAGTCCCTGCCATGGGCTTGGGACATTGGATTATGCGGTCCCCACTGTCTTCTCCATCAGACCATGAGCTGTATACCAAACCTGTTACACCTGCCTGGTGCAGAGCGACCTAAGGAAGAGGCTGTCACCTGGCATCAAATAATTTCTCTGAGAGTGTCAGCAGCCCTGGGATTCGAACATTCCAGACTTTGCCGGGATCCCCCAGATTCTTACTTGAATGCAGAGAGGGGGTCACTGTGGCCAGTTTACATGTCTTGGAAGCTGCAGGCTGCTAGGTGAGGAGGACTGCCCACTGGAGAGCAAGTTCACGCCCACACTAAGCATGCACGTGCAGCTGACCACCAGCGCCCCCATGCTGGGAACATGACAGAACAATACAGAAAGCCCAAATTTCTGCCCAAGGCACCTGTTTCAGTATTAACAATTCTCCACATTTGCTTATTGAAATTGCTTATTACACATGTTCCTTACAAATGCACTGGAAAAGCTGGAAGCAGCCATAGCAGCATTCCCTTGGGAAGAGGGAAAGGACGTGCTCCAGACCCCACAGCGTTCGGGAGCAGAGAGGAGCGCTGGTCTGAGCACTGCACTGAGGACTTAGTCCTGGCCTGCTATGACTGTTTCAATTGTAGATACTTTTTAATGGCATGAAAATACTTGTTAAACAACAGATTTTCAGCTGTAGCAAAGCAAGACTTTGTTGTTATTATTACTTAAGAACTGCCTTCTGTGGAGACAGTGGTCCACGAGCCTAGAGGTGAGGCTCTGCACCTGCACCTGAGGCCAGCACTGAAGTATCGCAGGGAATGCTACTGACTGTGACGCTGGCATCCCCATGTGGGCACCAGTTCGAGTCCCAACTGCTCTGTTTCCAATCTAGCTCCCTGCCACAGGCCTGGGAAAAACTGTGGAAAGTGATCAAGGTCCTTGGATCCCTGCTACCCATGTGAGAGGTCCAGATGGAGCTCCTGGCTCCTAGCTTCTGATAGCTTCAGCCCTGTCATTGCAGCCAACTGTGAAGTACATGTAAGATCTCTGTATCTGTCCCTCCATCTCTGTTGCTCTGTCTTTCAAAGGAAAAAAAAAAAGAATTCAAAAGGTGAAGGAAAACCAAGTTACAAAACACACTGTGGCCTTACTTTTATTACAATTTGTGTGAATAACATGTTAAAACAATTGTAAGTACTGATTGCAAACACCATTAACTATGGTTATGTCTGAGTGACATAATTTCCTTTTTCATGCTACTCAACGATCTACAAATTGTTATGGCTGAACAGTGATCTTAAGATATGAGCAGACCCCCAGCCAGTTTTGGTGGAAGTGCCAATGGGAGCTGACCCCGCTGGGAGGGAACTTTGACCGGCAGGTACTCTGTAGCCAGCATCCCCACTTTTCATTATTCCACTCCTGCAGGTGCACAGAGCAGCAGCGAAGGGACATGAAAAGACAAGGACATTCCAAACAGATGAGGCCACAGCGAGGATGGGAACCATGCACTTGGGGACTGACATAAAGCTGCCTCTAAGAGCCGTGATGAAAAATAGCAGGCAAGATGCAGAAGGCATGCCTGTCTACCATCGCTTTCAAGGTCACATGCATACTTACTGGCACACAGGCAGGCGACCCTTGGAGGGCTCGCCTGGGAATTTGCATAATCATTGCCTTGAAAGGAGGGATGAGAGAGGGGAGAGAGCAGAACTGAGTTTCACTGTGTATCTTTCCTTTTGTAAGGTGAATTTTTTGTTTGTTTTTTTTACTAATTGCCTATGTTGCAAAAACACAGCCTTGTTGGGGAAACACCACAGTCTCCCATGAGGCTTCAGCTTCGCATGACCTTCTGGGCCACAGGCAGCCCTTGGAAAATGCCGCCTCTGGCAACTGAAACTGCAGGAGGCACCTGGCAGGTTCTTGCCGACCCCACCCGGCCCCCCAGGCAGATCCACCTGCGAGTCCCCGGATTTTCAGTCTTGGGTTGACACAGGTTCTGTACAGCCATAGCAGGAACCTTGTGTCCTCTGACCACAAGGTGGAATGCTCACTTGTATGCAGTAAACAAAACAAAAAAAAATTACCTTTCAGCAAAGGAGTCCAGTTTCCCCAGCTCGTCAGAGAGACCCACGAGGGAATCCAAGGTCCCCACCTAGACAGATCAGAAAGAAGTCAGGGGTCCACAGAAGTGAGGAGGGGGGCCACAGCCTGGCCACAACACAGGTGACTCCGACGCATCTGCAGCTGGCTGCTCTCGGCCAACAGCAAGCTCTTGATGCAGGAGTCTTTTGATAAACTCGCAGCTTGCCACAGGAGGGTCTGTTAGGTCACTCCTTGGCGCTGGCTCCCTGTGCTCTTACAATGGCTGTCTCCTATCTGCGTGATGGATCCAGAGATGCCCGAGCGAGCAAGGTCAACAAGCCGTTGTTTCTAAAAGTCTTTCCTCTCCCGGGTCACCACAGCTTGCCTTTCCCGTTCTATTGGGGACAGCAGGCCTGCTACCCACTCCGCCCTTCACCATTGCCTTCCTCTGTTTGCAGGGTCCACGACCTGCTCTTCAGGTTTGGGAGCCGTTGCAAGATTATACCCAGCTCAGATTATACCCAAAGGTCTGTTCTCCCAATCAGAAAGGTCCATTTAGTACCATAAGATAACCTCAAGCAGATCCTCAAGAGGAATTGGAAAACGGTGGCGCCCTGGGCGCCTCCAGCAGGTTGAAGTTCACGCACCATGCTTTCTGCAGCTCTGTGCCCTGGGGAGCCTCACACCAGCAAAATGACAAGTGGCTGCCTGACTTCCTGGCCCTCACGGTGCCCTTTGAGCAAGCAAGCAGCGCAGGCTGTACAAGGGGACCTGGTCTGGGTTCAGAGCCTGAGGCAGCCACGCACCAACTCTGCCATCTTCCCAGGTGACGGACCTGGCTGCCCACACCCAGCTGTTGGCAGATGCAGCAGCCTCCCTAACTGCAGGGAGAATCCAGACTTTAGTGGGGATTAGCCAGCTGTAATTTCTGAGGCCTGCCTCTGCCGCCCCTAGGATGCGCTGCACCTGTGTGGCTCTACCCCAGCTGCTGCTTCCCCAAGACCCTCTGCGTCTTCCTCAAGTGTCTGTTCCCCGTTAAGGGACAGGACCACACACACCTTGCCTCTCTTCAACAAGTATCCCATGTTATCAGATCAGGTTGGGGGAGGGGGCATTACCTCCAGCCCCTGCTCTCCAGCTAAACTGGAGGCCTTCTGGTCCCGCCACTCTGCATCCAATGCTACAGTGCAACCACAGGCTGAACACACCCCAAGCCTGCCTGTCTCAGCTCCAGGCTGGAGTTCTTAGATGGTGGTGAGTGTGGGTGACACCCTACCATCTTCTTTGAAGCCCCCACCCAGGACCTTGTCACCAGTGTGATGGGAACAGTCCAAGGTCACATGTGCTGCAGCAAATCCAGGGCAACAGAACCAACTTCTGCTCCGGGTCCCCTTAGCTATAGATTTGTCCCAGCTCCCTCACTCTCACCTGCTACCTTCCTTCCGGGTAGACCTGCCATCTCCATCCCTCCCTCCTCCACAGCCGGCTTCTCTCCTCTTCCTCCCCCTCTCCCCCCAGGGGATGTACCTTGAAGTCAGGAATAACGAATTTCGTGTTGTAGGACAGGTTGGACTTGGATGTCACGGTATTCATCCTCTCCAGGGCTTGGAGATTCTCCTTATCGCCGGGGGCTGATATCAACCAGAACTCGGACATGGTCCAGTCTCCTCAGCTGCAATCACTGGCGACCCCCGGCGGGCGGGCGCAGAGAGACGGCGGCGTGGGGGGTGGGGGAGCGGAGTCAGAGCGCGCTCTGCCCCGATCCTCCCTTACAGCAGGCGCCCTCTCCCGACCCCTTCCCCGGCCTCGCCCACCTCCCAGCTCAAAGCCCTCGCCTCCAACGACGCCGTCTGTCCATTCAAAGCGCCGCGCTTATCTGAACCCAGAGGCCATAGGATCTCCGGAGCCCCGCAGCTCCACCACCCCAGGGTGGCTGGGGCCGGTTTGAAGGGCAGAGAAGGAGGAAGGACCACGTCCTCTCCCCATCCCCTCTCCCTCCGGCGCCCAAAGCCGGCGCTGGGCAACCGCTGGACAGGCCTGCCCGGGTCTTCTTTCCAAGATGCACCATGAGGGACGCAGGAAGGGGGGGGGGGAGCCACAGAAGCCTCACAGCGGGCTGCACCCGCCGCACCTGAGCCTGATTTCAGCCTGACAAACTTCAGACGAACTATTCTCTCAAAAAGCGAAAAGAGGAAAGAGGCCTCCAGGCTCCTCATCCCTCAGCGCAAGGAGTGCGCCCCGCCAAACCCGCTGACTGCCCACGGGCCCCGGACTCAGAACGGTCCCAAAGGCCACTCGCAAGGTCGTTCGGACGCGCCCACCCTCGTTCCTTAGCGGCCCTAGGCCTCGCGGAGTGCGTCTCTGGACCAGGGAGGAAAACAGGGTTTAAATATACATATATATATCGTGCGAGATTTCCCCCAGGGGCCGTTTCTCCTCTGGACTCGAATCTCTCTGAGCCCACCTTAGGCAGGCCAAACGCAGCTCCTTTCCGCCGCCAGAGCCCCGCGCGGCGCCGGGGAGATGCCACCTGCCAGATCCACGAAACGCGCGGAGAGTGGCCGCTGGCTGCCCACGACCCACTCCAGAAGGCTCGGGCGTCGGTCTCCGGGGACGCGCCCCCAGCCTCGTGAGGACCCCGCAGCCCGGACCCCAACCCCGCTGCGCGTCCTTACCCGGAGCGGCGGGGCGCGCAGGGCCGGAATGCTCGGCCGGCTCCCGGGAGGCAGCGGCTTCTGCGGCCCCGCGCGCTCCGCCCCGCCTTTTATCCCAGGCGCGGCAGGCGGCCCCCGCCCCGCCGGGCATTTGCATACGAGCCGCCAGCCTCCCCGAGTCCCACCAGGTTGGAACCCCGGACCCAGGGAGCAGACGCGGGGCGTCGTGCGGCGGGCTACGGGCAGGCAACGAGCAGCTAGCCAGCTGGGCCCCGAGGTTTCAAGCGCCCCCAGGCCCACCGCTCCGCCGAGTCCGTGCGGGGTGGAGCCTGGGAAGACGCGCGGGAGACCCCACCCCGGCGCCCTGCCGCGTTTCCTCGGGAGTCACCTGCGCGCGGCTGTTCCCGAGGACCGAGTCCGAGACAGGGGTTGCCGTGTGGAAAGCGACGCAACAGGTTCCCCGACACTGTGGAACGCACCTGCAGAGGGAAACGAAGCCCTTCCCGTCGGCGTGGGCGCGGGTCGCTCAGGAAACTCCCCGGCGCGCCCCCACGCCGTGGCCGCGGCTGCGGGGCTGCGCGGGATCGGGGATGGGTGCGGCTCGCAGCCTGGGGCGATATTAGCCGGCGGTCAACCCCGAGACCCTTTGCTCTGGCCTGCGGGAGACGCCAGGGCACCTGTGACCCACGGCTTCCCAGGTGCTGCCCAGGGAACAGCCTCGCCCTCCCGAGTAGGGCGAATTCCTCATCTGTCCCCCTGAGTCTTGGGGATGCTGTCGGATCCGAAGGGATAGTGCTGGGCCCCCCAGCCCCGCACGCGGCGGCACTAGAAGCCCCAGACCCAGACTCTGAGGTCAGGAAGCGCTGGGACTGACAGACGGATCCACACCTGCGCCGCACACCACTGTCACCATTAGTCAGTCGGCCCTTGCGACACCTTGCGACAAGGGAGGGAGGACTCCTGAAACCCGAGGATGTGGAAACCTGGGTGCAGGTAGAGGGCGTGGCCAGCTGGGAGCGGAGCCAGGTGGGCTCCCCTGGGCTTGAAGCTGGGGGCAGATCTTGCTTAGGGACACACCCCGGGCTGGCCAAGAACGCTGGCCTCGTGGTGCTGGGTCACACAACTGGCTTTAGTCAAGCTAATGTCTTTGTCCCTGGCTCACGCCGAGGGAGCAGCTGTGTCCCTTCCATCACTTCCAAGTTCAGGACCCTGAACCTGGCTTTTGGCAGCCTGGCCAGCACGCTTAGTTTAGTGACTGTCCTCTTCCATCCTTAAGCCTGACCCCTCTCCCTGCTTTATTTCATGAAGAATCGGAGCCAAAAAACGTGAGGACCCCTTCGGTCCTGCTGTCCTCAGATTCCCGACACAGAATCTAAAAACTTTATTCATCAGAACTTGCAGTAGCTTGGGCCTTTGGAGTTCCTTTGCCTTTCCCAAGCGATTTCTCTCTCTCTCTCTCTCTCTCTCTCTGTCTCTCTCTGTCTCTCTCGATTTATTATTTTTAAAAGATTTTTTTATTATTATTTCTTGCGAAGTCAGATATACAGAGAGAAGGAGAGACAGAAAGGAAGATCTTCCCTCCAATGATTCACTCCCCAAGCAGCTGCAACAGCCGAGCTGAGCTGATCAGAAGCCAGGAGCCAGGAGCTCCTTCCTGGTCTCCCATGTGAGTGTAGGGTTGGGTTTGTCCTCGACTGCTTTCCCAGGCCACAGGCAGGGAGCTGAATAGGAAGCAGGGCTGCTGGGAACAAAACCATATGGGATCCTGACGCGTTCAAGGCAAGGACTTTAGCTGCTAGGCTATTGCACCGCCTTCTCAAGCAATTTCTTATTGGTGTCTTGTTTTGCTGAATGTAAAAGTAGTTCCACATTTCTTATAAAGAATTGGGAAAGCAGAAAAATATACAGAAGAAAGTTCAAATAACCTGCAAAATTTCACAATCTGAAAATAAGCAATATCAACACTCAGATTCTCTTGTGACTTTTAATGCATATGCATGAGTATGGCTGTGTCCTTGGTTGAGGAATGGAGCTGACAGGTGTATAATAAAGTGTGGCATCCTGCTGTTGTCTGTTTTTAGAGATTAAAAAAAAATAACAGATGTATCTTATCTGTAAGGGACAATGCAGCGTTATCAGACATTGGCCACAGCTCAGAAGTTGAGTCATATTCAAAGCCAAATAAAGATGCTTTGTTGGACAGCTGAGAGAGAGGCTTGCCCAGATGGCAAGATGTGCAGTTCTCAAATATAGTGGTCAGCTGTGAGATGCTGGGTGCTCTTCCTGCCACTTTCCCTGCAAAGTGAGACGGATCTTTAATACAAAGACATTGGTGCAAAGTCACCAGGAAGTTGTGGCACCTGCCACCTCTTCATCTTGGAACATCATAACACAACATCCTGCAATGGAAGGAAAGTGTTTTCCCTCTATCACCAGAGGCTGCACTTCATTTCTGTTCTCTCCTGACACAACCCCAACCTATCTGAACCTGCTGCTGAAAACCTCTGTGGGCATTGATCACTGCTTCAAAATACTGCCCGGGCTATGAAACACACACACAACCGTGTTCCTAATGAATCCTACCTCCTCCTGAGAACAAAGGCAGGGAGCGAATGCCACCATGGGCCTTGTGTCCTCCTAGGCTGATGAACTTGAGAGTGCCTAAATGTGGCATGTGCCAGGCATTGAGACACAAGGCCTGTGCAGGAGAGAGCCTGGGCTGGTGACAGGCCCAGCAGGATGAGGGGCGGGCGGAGGGCATTTCTCTAGAAACAGCTCAGCAGGAGGGAAACCTGTGAGCAGTGCTGTCCCAAGGCACTGTAAGAACAGATCGGCCTTTTGTGAGAACAGATGGGTCTGTGCAGCTGGACAATCAGATAAGCTGTCACCCTCCCTGAGATCCAGGTTCGTGGCTGAGCCTGCCCGCCTTTCAGCGTGAGGCTGAGAGCAGAGAACACTCCTGGAGAGAGCCCCCAGTGAAGTGCCCGGCACTTCTCGCTCCCTCTACCTCTCCAAGTCGCTCTTCAGGGTTTCACATGTCTGGGCTGGCACGTTATAGCTATTAAAAAAAATTTTTTTTTTCTCCTAAGTAACTAGAAAGTACTTTGATCTATGTTTTCTCTTTCAGTTAAAAAAAAATCCTTCTCGTGACTTTAACACAGTCATCAGCCATCATTATGGTTGTCATTTTTTGAGAGAAAACATAAGGTGTGGGAATTCTCGTGGCATCTCTACCCGAAGGTCCACAGTCAAGGAGAAACCCCGCCCTCATTTGACCAGGCTCCCGCCCACCCATCCACCTGTGCCTACAAGGCCCTGTGGCCGGGTGCAACAATAAACTTGAGTTTGAGTTCAGACTACAGCCAAGTTAAAAGCCATGAATGCAAAACATGGGGCAGGTTGGTGGCGCACGCATGAGGAAGCAGAAACACTCCAGAAATGCCCTGAGGAGGAAATAGGCCCAAGGAGACAAGTCACCTGGCCCCGAGCACAGTCAAGGGCAGATATATGAATGTATGTTTTGAATTGAACACACCAAGTTCAACACTCAAGATTTATTTATTTCACTTTACATAAACTTGACTTGAAATAACCCTATAAATACTGAGCACCAGTTGGTAGCTCGCTCTGCATGGCAGTGTGAGCAAATCTGACACTGCTCCCTGGTATCTCCTTGACTCCAATGGATACACGCCAGGAGCCAGGATTCTCCCACAGAAGAGGGAATCTCAAAAATGGGGAAGAATCTGGAAAGAGTCCTGAGCTACTGGGTGGTCATTGTGGTTGGGCAACGGCCTACGTGATAGAGAGAGAGAGGGAGAGAGAGAGAAAGAAGGCTCTGTTCACCAAGAAAGCCTTGGGGAAATGGGTGCTCCCAGGACTGAGTTATGAGGCAGTAAAGGACCATGGTGCCTTCCACTTATTCTCAAATGGTTAATCCACTGATTACATGATAATGTTATGCTGTTGGATTATACAGAGTATCTAGATATGTCCATCTTT